AAGGTTAAAAGAAAGGTGGACCTTACTATGCAGCCTGGGGTTCTCCCCTGAAGGGATGATCTTTCTAGGCCCTCAGAGTTGCCTTTGCGTGAACGGAAGAATTTCTAGAGATAACTGGACTAGCAGAGTACAGAATCTGAGGTTTTCAGATTTCCTTTACTCTCGTTCAGTCAAGGGTTTGTGATGCGTTTAGTGTCGTAGCATCACAGTGTGAATTATTTTGTATTCCCGTTTAATGGCAAGCTATAAATATTTGGCTAGCTATACATATAAACAATGGACTGAGCTGCAGTAGAAAAACTGATAATATATTTATTCAGTTTTTTTGTTGGAGCTCAGTCTGTGTGAGTGGACACCTTCCATCTTCAATTCATGCGGCCTTACTGTTGCATATAAAATCTTCCTCCATAGTAAATGTTTGTTGCATATAAAGTCTTCCTCCATAGTAAATGTTTGTTGCATATAAAGTCTTCCTCCATAGTAAATGTATTTCTATGGGTCTGCAGGGCTTTTTGTTGTCATATGTTATAAATTTGTACTGGGTTTTCTCTTGGAGGTGGGGGGGTGTGTCTTTCTATGTAGTATGAAGCATGGTATGTTTCTTTGTGAAATATTGTGCTTGTCTTACTGATTCCTGTGGCATGACGTACTTCAGTCCTCTTTACTCTCTGCTGGTGGTGTACTATGGTCTAGGAGACCAGAGGAAGGAAAAATGGCAGTGAAACAGCTGTGTCCTAAAGGACCCTTTCTCAGTAGAGGGGATTAGACCAAATGGCCTTCGGATGTATCTTAGCTTTGCATTTATCTGATTCTGAAGGAACGTCATCTGCCTTTGAAGGGAATATCTCTTTGAAATTCATGTTGGCATGTCCATAGAACATGTTGTGCTTAACCAGTTACTTGTTAGAATGACAAATGCCTACACTTTTGCAGCCTACACCCTATGTGAATGGGGAAAGTTCCACGTCTTCCACTGATATGAGAGAGATGGCGGTGAGTATACAGCCCTGGCTCTTTTGTCAGATGGCATTGTTTTGAGTAATTCAGTAATTTACCTGCTGTGAACTTGATTAGCAAAAGTAGACCAAATGCTGTTTCACCCCCTTTTTAAAAAGGGGGGAAAACATCAAGTCCGTGTTCAAGGAAAGGTTTTTGCATGATCTCCAGGAAGTTCCAGGTTGTCTATGAAGGGGGCTTGAGTTCTTCTTGTTCAGTTGTCTTTTGGTGGGCGGGGAAGGGACAACACAGAAATGCTCAAATGTGATGTCGATTATTTTCTACCCTTTTAAAAATTATTTGCCTTTTCTCCCCTCTTACACTCCCTTCCTCCTCCTCTTCCTGCTGTCTGCATGTGCCCATCAGACACGTTACCAGGAGCTGGCAGTAGCCCTGGACTCCAGTAATCTAACAAACAAACAACTCAGTACAAAGGTAGAGGAATTGGTAAGAAACGACTAGACCAATCTGTTTGGCCTTGCCTTGCTGTTCCTCTGTGCTCTCTGGGTGTCCACAAGGCCCTGGGTTCTTTTACCGTGCCACGAGGAAAGGTGCTGCTTTGCAGAAGGTTTGAAAGGAAGACCAAGTCTGTACTTGCTGATTTTTCTCACTTCAAATGTCCACCTGGATCGAAGGTCTTGGGTATGCTGTGTCTGCATACTCAGGAGTGTTCATGATTGGATCCGTGTCTGAACAGCTAAATTTTGAGAGGATAGGGTAAAAAGCACAGGATTTGCATGCCCCCCGTAGAAAAATGGGAATTAAATCAAAAGCACAGAGTGCCTTGATCGCCAGGAACATGCCCATCAGCAATTGAAGGGGGTGGGTTGTGAGAGAGGAGCTGGAAGTAAATATAATAGAAAACAGACCGCTTCTACCAGGTCAGTCAGTTATTAAGGGTCTGGTTTGTGTAAGTTTTTTGAGGACAGGGGAGAGGGAGTTATGTACGCATACCTGTGATTCAGTGCTCCTTCCCCCTTGCATAATGAAAGTACTGATCAGAGTGGTCCTGCAGTGTGTTAAAACCAGCAGCCTACAGACGGGTGCACAGTAAGAGAGACTTCAGAATAGGGTTCCCTGGGATATTGCTTTGCATGCAGAGCTGCAGCTGAACTTTCCTTACTTGAGAGCTGCTGAATCTGTTTCAACAGAGACTAGGGCTAAATGTGGCAGAGACGAGCATGGGGGTAAACGTGACCCATCTTTTTGGTATTTTGTGGCCCAGTAAACGAGCCCATTTGCCTTGTAGCTTGCATGGATTGCTGCTGCTTCTGCTGCTCTGTTTGATGCCTTTAATACCGCTAGCAAAAAAAAAGTCTAGCATTGTTTGACATTCTTTTCATTTCATTTCCCCCCACTTCGTTGCATGGCACCTCTTTGTTTTTTGCTGTATTTTTTTTTTCTGTGTGTCCATTCAAATGCCTTGCAATAGAGCAGTGCCTACAAATGGTTTACCTACAAGTGAACAGAAGTTATCCTTTTAACAAGAAAACCCACATTCGCTGCTGAAGAAATAGGCAACTTAGGCATATTTGTATGTTCTTTTTAACTCAGGTTTTTTATCTCAGAAAAGTCACTTTGTTTTTGTTATAGTCCACAAATGGAAAGTTGGGATTCAGGTAACTTTGGGTGCAGAAGCTGCAATGAGCAGTAAAGACTTACAACCTCAAAAAGTTCCCTCAAGGGATGGGCACGAACTGATAAACCCCAGTCCAAGCACAAAACAGGCCAGTTCGTGGTTCGCGAACCAGGGGTTTGGGATAACGTGTCTCCCACGATCTGCCACACGAACCTCCATGTTTTTTCATGGAGGTTTGTGGGAGGGTTCATGCGGGCTCCGAAGGCATTTAAATACCTTTGGAGCTTACTTCTGGGTCCAGCGGCCCAACCGGAAGTGAGCTCCAAAGGCATTTAGAAGAGAAGAAGAGAAGAGATTGGATTTATACCCCGCCCTTCACTACCCAAAGGTGTCTCAGAGCGGCTTACAAACTCCTTTCCCTTCCCCTCCCCACAACAGACACCCTGTGAGGTAGGTGGGGCTGAGAGAGCTCTTGACAGAAACTGCTCTTTTTCAAGGACAGCTCTTAGTGGAACTACGGCTTGCCCAAGGCCGTCCAGCCAGGTGCAAGTGGAGGAGTGGGGAATCAAACCCGGTTCTCCCAGATTAGAGTCCGCGCACTTAACCACTACACCAAACTACACCAAATTTAAATGCCTTCAGAGCCTACCACTGGCCCATGGCCCAACCCGAGTGAGCTCTGAAGACATTTAAATACCTTCAGAGCTTACTTCCAGGTTGGGCTGCCCGACCAGATGTGAGCTCCTAAGGCATTGAAATGTCTGCCGCAGCCACGCCCCCAACCGGAAGTGAGCTCTGAAGGTATTTAAATGCCTTTGGAGCTCACTTCCAGGTGGGGCTGTGGCCCCACAAACTTCCCAAAGCACGAACCTGTTCGTGGACTGGAGAAGTTCAGGGTTCGTGAAAACCCTGAACCCCGAACCTCTGTTTTTCCAGTTCATGCCCGCCCCTAGTTCCCACCCATAGAAACAGACATCTTTTAGATAGGGTTGGGGAAGCAGAACAAGTCCCTAGGTGCCAGATCCAGGTTTTTAAAAAGCCTCTTGGTGGTGCATATCTCCAGACAACTGAGGTTAGATGGGAATTCATATCAGGTGTCCGCGTGCTTGAGATTTTTCCAGCTTTGTTTAATTTTTCCTGTCCAGTCAGGAGGATGAGGAATATGGTCTTTTTTATTATGGTATAGTTAGATTCTGTGGGTACTTGCATGTCAGTTGTTTTTGAGGAAGATTCCAGCTGCAAGGTTTCCTAGATCCCCATCCTTTGTCTGTTGCCTTCTCAGATTTATTCATTTGGAAAATTTATACCCTGCCTTTCCAGAGACCCTATTTGATTTGCCCTTTTTCTCACTGGTGGTTTGAATCCAAGGAGTTCTGTGTTTTCCTTTTCTTACCAGAGCCATTTTCATAGCAGTGTTTTGTAGCTTACAAAAAAAAAACCCAACCCAACTTGGCCCAAGGAAGTAGATCTTATTGCGGCCAACTGTAGGAGATGTTCATGAAAGATGAGAGGAGGGAGCCTCTTTCCTCCAGTAGAAAGCAGGAAAAGTTTAGGGGCCACCACTGGCGCTCCGACTTATCCAGTGGCTGTCAGCATATCTTTACCATACTCTCCCTTTATGGAGGGCTTGTTGTCCTTTTAGACGCAGCACTTGAGAGACATGTTCCACTCTGTTGTCAGAACCCACAGCCAACAACGTAGTACACTCTTTTCTGGAAAGGTAATACTTTATTGAAGAGCCATAGATGTGTTAACATAAGCACTGTTAAGAATGGCGGTTGCCCATTGAGCCTAATAGGATATAGGGTATTCGTATGCACACACACACCCCACTGCTGTGGCCAATTAGTCACCCTCCCGCGCGTGGGATACGACTTGCCGGCCGTTAGATATCTGAAGCTGGGAACTAGCTTTCTCTCACGGCGCCTTGGAAAACATAGACTCCATACTCCCACCTGTATATTGTTATAGATAAGCATTTCTCTAGAAGCACAGGAGGGAATGCAAAAGCAATTAAGCAGACACTGACTGACCATCCCAACCCCCATGGCAGCATAGCTGACATACTGCCCTCTCAAAGGACACTTCCTTCCGCCCATTCCGGGAGGTCTCCCGGTTTGTCCGGGAAGTCGTGATGGAATTGGCGCAACAGCCGAGGGGCCCGAATATCCCCCACTTCCACCCATTCGAGGTGCTGGGGTCTGAAATCCACCCACTCCACCAAATACAACAATTTCCCCCTTTTTATTTTAGAGTCCAGAATTTTTGAAATCTCGTAATGTTCCTCGCCCTCCACCATTAGAGGAGGGGGCACCGGGGCTGATGGTCGCCAAGGGCTGGAACCGGAATCCTTCTTCAGGAGGCTGAAATGAAACACAGAATGCTGTGTTGTTGTTATTTTTCCTCCCCCTGCCCAGTTGTTCTGTTGAAATCAAAAGCACTTCCACTGTAAGTCAGAAAATCCTGTTGGTGGTCTTTCTATCCTCCAGGGTTACATCCGTGCACGAGAACCCGTCCTGGGGGGCCAGCAGGGCAGCTGCTGTCCGAGGCACTGAAGGATCAAGGTTTATCTTTAGTGGCCTATAGAAGCCATGCTTCCTTTTCTAGCGCATGTTGATGAGCGAATGCTGCCCGTGTTCCGAAGGAGAGTGGGCAGTCTCCGCTTCTGTTCTGATTGTCACCTTTCATCGGACCTACCGCTGGTTGAATAGAAGTCTCGGACTTCTGACTTGTGAAGGCCTGCCTGCCTGTGGAAGTGCTTCATGCCACTCTAAAGCTTGCTCCCTCCACTGACTATATTGTGTTTGTTGAAGTAGCAAGCTTTCAAGTTGCACACATTTCTGCTGCAGGCAGCAAACTCTTCGCAGTCCAGGTGGCCTGTCAACAGCACTGGGTCTTAAAGGCTACATCAAAGAGCAAAGATGAATGGCATCTTTTTAACAATAAGGATAAGGAATGTTGTTATTCCTTTGGCATTCCTTTTGTGCAAGATCGTACCCCTGATCCTAACTCATTTCTTCTTGCCTTTAAGTCAGGAGTTCAGGATGCCTTGATTCTAATAAAGCAACTACTGTCTTAGTTACAAATGTCAAAACTCTTAGTGGTAACTCTGTTTACATTAGCCTGTATACTCCCCAACCATCTGAGGAAAGGAGAAGCCTGTGTGACTTGCTGCTAGTATTGATGTATCCATTTTGCTCCCTTCTGCAGAAACAGCAGAATCAAGAGGCCATGAATCAGCTGGAGAAGGTAATTGGCCGTGCTCTGGAGACTGGCGTAGCCGAATAGCGCTTCTCGTTAGAAGCAGAAATTATAGTGTGTTATATGAGCTAGGGTGACGCTGCCTCAGCTGGAGAACAGACGATGGTGAAATGTTTAGCGGAGCCCCAAGAGGGGAGGTAGCCGTTCCTTCCTTGCTCTGCTGTCAGAGCAGGATCTCAGGACCGACTCCCATGTTACAGCTGCCCATGTGGAAAGCTGCTACTTTTATGTGATATGCATTTTGTGGGGCAGTCATACTGTATCCACTTACCTTGTGGATGGCCCTTCTCACGCAGATAGTGTCATGGTCAGTGCCACAGATGCCTAGGGGAGGCTTGGAAGCTTGCCACACAGTAGGAAGAAGAGATTGGATTTATACCTCGCCCTTCACTACCCAAAGGTGTCTCAGAGCAGCTTACAAACTCCTTTCCCTTCCCCTCCCCACAACAGGCACCTTGTGTGGTAGGTGGGGCTGAGAGAGCTCAGACAGAAACTGCTCTTTTTCAAGAACAGCTGTGCCAGAGTTATGGCGTGCCCAAGGTCATCCAGCCAGGTGCAAGTGGAGGAGTGGGGAATCAAACCCGGTTCTCCCAGATTAGAGTCCGCGCACTTAACCACTACACCAAACTGGCTCTCTTAGCGCTTAGTGTGGCTTGCAGCTCTCCTGAGGAATGGCTGCTCTGTGGAACCACAGCTTCCATATAGCGTTAGTTTAAGACCTTAGTTAAAGTGCTTCTAAGCGGTGGTACTTAGACGATGAAACAACATAGCGCAGACATTGGCTTCGGCTCGTCTTTTACTAGGGTTGCCTTGAATTAGTGGTGCTTTTCTAACTTTCATTTAAAATGAAGTGTCTTTTTAATTTTTTAGGCCATGTAATGTCAGAAGTCCAAGAGTAATTCTTTTCTTTAACTCTAGCTTCACAGTGCTGTTTCAGTTGCAGAATACATTCAAACCCGGTGTATTTGGATCCAAACTCAATCCTATTCATTTACACAAATCTTAAGAGTTCAAATTCGTATTCATTGGGGTTGCTAGTTTTTGGGTCAGGCTGATTATTTTGTTCAAGCTACAGCTCCTGCTTTGTCTTCAGTGTCCTGGCTCTTAATAGAGTTAGGAATGCCAGAGGCCTTTTCTTTGTACTTAACATCTATTCCATCAGGCAAGTGGTTTACAGAGGCCCACAGATTTTGTATTTGCCTTGAAGGGTCTTAACTCTGATGGAACGGTGGCCGTGGAGGCAAGTCCTCACCCAGCCCCCAGCCCTGATTCGTGACAAACTGACCTCCCATAAGCTCATTGTGAATTTGAGAAAATTCTCCACCCCTCTCCCAACCGTGGGAGCTCTCCCAGCCCTTATGCTGACCTTGGAGGTGCTCAGAGATGAGCGAGTCTGGAAAAGGATGAGGCTGTCATTAGAATAAAAAATTGTGAGTCCTTGGTTAGTGCCTTGAGCAGGTCTCTGGAGTGGCAGCCATGTTCAGAATAAATATAGGGTAATATTACAAAATATCTGCTTTCCATAATGCACTGGAAGTCAGGCTTATGTAGTTCTAACTTTCCCCTTTTTCCTGAGGGACTGATGCATCACATCATAGCCATTTATTTAACAAATGTTCTGTCAGTCTTGAATTTTAGTTTTCATGTGGGCTCTGTTTTTTAAAAAGCCTTTGAGACATCCTTTCCCCATAGCTATTTTGTACTGTGTAACATTTCCTTAAGTTTGAAACTCACCAAGAGAACTAAATAAAGGGCAGAATAGAAACTTTGGAGAAGACTAAGGAGGTAATCCAGGAAGAGGGGTTGCTTCACCACCCGCATTGACCAGGATTTGTGTTCAACAGCTCTTGGCAGAGAATGCATTAGATCTGTAATGTGTATGAATTAAATGTCATACGGGAGGCAGGCTGCCAATCAAATGCGTGTCCGTGCTCATGTGAATACTTTGCATTTCAATAGGAAAAGAAGGGGTTTGAGCAGAAATTTGCAAAGGAGCAAGGAGCATTGCGAGAGCAGTTACAGGTAGGCAGAATGTCTTCCCCATCATATCATAATTAGCACTTTGCTTTTCCTGGCTGCCTTTGATGTTCACAGATGGGCTCTTCTGGCCTTTGAGAAGAGGCTCCTACCTTTAATTAACTTTCAGCAACTCCTGTGATGAAAGAATTCTAACCCAGAGTGGCCCATTCCCTGAGTTTGTCTGTGCTCTCCTTAAAGGTCCACATTCAGACTATAGGAATCCTGGTTTCAGAAAAGTCTGAACTGCAGACAGCCCTGACACATACGCAGCAGGCCGCTCGGCAGAAAGCAGGTAAGCAGCTCCTTTGAGTCTTTTTTTTTTAAAGTTATTTTTGTTTTATTGAATAACCAAGATGCTAAACTTTACATAACATTGCAGGTAAATAGGAGGGAAATTGAAATGTATATTCAATATTCAATCTTCTATAACTACCAATATATAAAATTATGTCTAACAGCCTAAAACGTACTAGGCTAAAAAAGAACATAAGGTGCTTTGTGTCTTAATGAGCATTCTACCCTTCTGACCCGAACTAGATAGTATTGAACCAACCAACGCTCAGTAACAACTGTGGTCTCGAGAAGCTAGTTGTGTTAAAAGTGGAGCCATGTGGTGTAGTATGAGTTATGTGGTAGGAGATCATTGTTTGACATGTATTGTAGGTATGGGAACCCTGTTCTTACAAAATTGGACTGTGTCTTGTTAGATCCCGATAGATCAGGAACCAGTGTGGTGCTAATCTTGTCCATAACGAACTGATCCCAAACTTTGTTCCTCCACTCATCCAGTGTTGGGGCTTTGGTTGATTTCCAAACTGTAGCTATGGTGAGTTTAGCTGTTGCCAGTAGGACCGTGGTTAAATTTGTAAGAGCCTCTTCCCCAGCCGAAGGGTGTCTCGGATGGAGAAGGACAGTGGCCGGATCAAACAGGAGTGTTCGTGATGTAATATTAGTTACTTTGTTGGTCACCTCCTCCCAGCTCTTGGGAGTCTTTGACCATCTCAAACCATAATGGGGAGGCGATAACTATAGCGCTGCAACGCTAGTCATGGAATATTTTTTGCTAAGGGTTACATTTAGGCAAACCTGGTGAAGCTGTTATTGTTTTTGTTGCACTTGACCATCACTTAGTCCAGTGTCTGACTTTGGCTATCCAGTGCCTTAGTTATTGGGAACTCTAGTTCGGAATGTACTTCAGGATGCCACTTGGTAATGTGACTTTATAAAGCCGCACTTTGGAATTTGTCCAGGCCTTGGTTGATTTTTTTGTCCTGTAGTAATCTTACAGATTTTGTCATTTTTTTGAATGTATGTTTTGACTGCCTTACTGCTTTTGTCTCTAGGTGTCTTTCAGAACTGGCCCCTGTGTTTGGATTTTATGCTGTTACACATGTATTTGTGATTTTATGCTGGTTTTAGTGGTTGCTGTTTTGTGATTTTTTGTTGTTGGGTTATTTTTTCCCACTGATATTTTTATTAATTTTATTAATTCATTTTATCGTTGTATTTTGAATTGTTGTAAGCTGCTAGTTTTCTGGAGAGGCAGCTAAAAAATGACCTAACTGAGAAATAAATAAGCCACCCTTCCCTGTAATTGGGGCAAGTCCCTAGCAGCATGCAAAATGCTATTGCAAGGTCAATGAAGAATAATAGGCAGAAGCTATCCTACTGTAGACTTTTGCAGTTTTAGAAAAGTTGATAGAATAATACTGACAACTGCTGCTTCCTCTGTTTGCAACAATAATACTTCTGTGCGCTAAGACCTTAGAGGCAAGAGCAAACCCCTTGCCAATTCTGGACGCCTGATGCTCTGATCCTAAGCCTTTGCACCTCTGTCTACCTCCAATAACATTGTAATACAACACTGTGGCTTGCGCTGCTACTGAACTGCAGTTACTACAGATCGCATACAGCAAGTGATGCTAAGACAAAGGAGAGTTGAAATTTAAATGTGAATCGGTGGTCAAACTGCTAGTCAGCTTGCTTTGATTCTGTTCCCACATAGTCTTGTTTTCACTTGCGCAGGAGAAGTTGAGGACCTTGCTTCTCGGTTGCAGTCCTCTCGCCAGAGGATATCTGAGCTGGAGCACACACTCTTTCCACCATCTCTACCCAACAGAAGCAGTCAGAGAAAGTAAGAATGGCCACTATTTGCTTTTCATTATTTCATCATCAGTCGCACACCTTACACTTTCTTCTTTGGGAGATTGAACTAGGAACTCTGTTCCCAAACAGGCTTCTGTGTCATTCCATTTGGTCTTTTTTTGTCTGTTATTCTTAAATGTTTGTTGCGTTGCTCAGCCTCACAGGTCCAGCTTCTTGCTTTGTTCCCCTTGCCAAATCCAAACTCGGTCTCTGCCAGAGGACCAAAGGCACCATTCTCAGTCTTATTTTGGCATAGTCTGTCCTGTCTCCAGCTCAGACTCCTGTCTAATTAGTGGTGCTAATTTTAAAGAGTTGTTCTGTGTAGATGAAGCCAAACTCTTCTGAGAACCTTTGGTTTGACTCCGGTTACTTGGCCTAGTCAGATCTGAAATCCCAGCCTGATCTATCTCGTCACTACAATCGGAGTGTTAGTGGTAATGTTGAGGGGAGATGGCCTTCCATATTTGCATTTTGCGTTAACAAAACCCCAGCTTCCTACAGATCTTCTTGTTCTAAGACTGCATCGTTTGAGTTGAAATCCCTGCTAAGCACACCCTGAATCGGTGGCGTGACTAATGCAGCAGTTTCATGGAGCACAGCTCAACATGGATGGGTTTGCAGATACAAAATCTTTTAGCAGATATTGGCAGGCAGGGTTGGTCGCATGCCAGTATTGGCAAGGGGACAGTGCACAGAACTGGTGTTCCCCCCCCCCCCCGGTGCGTGATATCCTCAATCCTTCTTGCTCTTTTACTCTGTCGCAAAATGTGTCTTTGGTGAGGTGGCATTTTAAAACCATGGAATCTTGTTTGACTGCAGACACATTTCCAGTTCTCCTGGTCACACAAATGGGCTTGAAAATGGGGTTGCAAAAAAGTTATGATTCGCCGTTCATAGGAATGTATGTATAGCACTTTAGATCTTATGTGGTTTTAATTGTTGAATTGTTTAAATTGTCTTAAATTTTATCTAAGCCGCCCTGAGCCTGCCCCGGCGGGGAGGGCAGGGTATAAATCCAATAAATATAAATAAATAAATACCTGAAGAGCTGGAAGTTTAAAGAAGTGTGTGATCCCACTTTGATTGAAGTGCTTTACATGGAAGCCTCGAGGTTTTCAAGGATGGCTCTTGCGTGTATTGTATTCCATCTTTCTTATTTATTAAAAATCTATATATCTAATAGCCAAGGCGCCCCCTGCGTGCAGATATCGAGATCCGCACATCGGGGGCACCTAGGGGGCAGAGAGATTTTCCTGCACCTTTAGGGGGCAAAGATTTTCCTGCACATTTGGGGCAATCCTCAGATGTGCAGAAAAATCTGAAATCTATAAAAAACTATAGGGGGATATTTAAATCCCCCCAAAAGTAAAAGTGTTCCCTGCGCATGTGCAGGGAACGCTCTGAGAATTGCCTCGCCGCCGCCACCACAGCTGCCACTGGGTGTGGGTGGGAGAACGCTTGGCGGGCCGGCCACTCAGGCCTCACCGCTGCTGCTGCCGCAGAGGGAAAGGGAGAAAGCTTGGCCTCGCCGTTTGTGCTGGGGGGAAAGGCTTGGCGGACCAAGCAGGAGGCACACGGGCCTTGCCGTTGGTGCGGGGGGGGGGGAGGCTTACCTGCAGCTGCTTCCTCTTCCTCTGTTTGGAGCCCCCCCCCCCACGAGTACCACGGGTCTCCCTTCTTGTATATCCTAATTGTATCAGACCTCCTTCCAGAGCTCCCTCCCTCGGGAGATTTGTCCATCACCCTCTATCTGTGTCTTCCACCAGTGGGTGAACTTTTTTGTTTTGTTTGGCATACCCCCATTAAATGTTTAAAATAAATAAGAATTACATAATAAACAATACAGGGTAAAAATGAAAGATGTACTTCTAAAGTTATACATTCTAGAGAGGGATTGTCGCATGGCAGTAGAGCACTTCCTTTGCATGCCGAGGGTCCTTGTTTCAGTCCCTGGCTCCTCAGGTTAAAAAGGTCTCAGGTAGGAGTATTGGGGAAAGACCTTTCTCTGCCTGAGACCAGGGGAGGGTTGCTGGCCATCAGTATAGACAGTATTGAATTAGATGGACTAATGATGTGACTTCATATAAGGCAGTTTCAAGTGCACCTACATGTAAGTAAGCAGCTTTGAAGTCTAACTACAAAGAAGTGGAAAGCCTGTAAGGAGACAGATGTTTTTATCATGCTTTATAAAAGTTATTAGGCTCATAAGAACATAAGAGAAGCCAATGTTGGATCAGGCCAATGGCCCATCTAGTCCAACACTCTGTCACATAGTGGCCAAAAACACCAAGTGCCATCAGGAGGTCCAGCAGTGGGGCCAGGACACCAGAAG